CAGTTCAGTCAGCATCAGATCAGCAGTTTCTGAGCACTCAGTAGACATGTAGATGTGAACGTGTCTCCAATCATCACAGTCTCATGACTGGAGCTCCTGTGTGTTTTCTAGGTTGTTTTTCTTCCTGGTTTCGGCTGTTTGTACATCGACGTTCTTCACCAGAGCGGCACCATCACGCTGACGCTCGCACCAGAGAGCAGCGCTGGAGACATCGTCACACACCACAGGTCAAACACGCTTGTGCTGAGTCTCTCCACAAGAGGGCCGCGTTTGACTCGCTCACCCGTGTGTTTCTCGAGTGTTCATTTCGTTAACGATGATGAAAAATATTAATTCAGCGTCTGGGAGTAAGAGAAGAGCAGTCATATGGATACATTTGAAAAGCATGATAACGTGATAGAGTACTTAATTCGGTCCGGATTTCTGAGCCTTTACAGCCGAATCACGTACACAAAAAAGCACCTCTCAAACAACGCACGACTATTGAATTCAGTTCCCTTTTGCATCTCAACAGAGAAATACACACAAAATGATGTCATTCATTCATGTATTCACACCCGTTCTTCAGTGAATGTAAGCTTGGGAGAACATCACCATATTGAAACGGTTTTAAAGGGGAAGAAGCCTAATTTTGTTTTTGTAGTCTGTGTCCTTATTGTTAATGAATCAACAAAAGAAGGAGAGAAAAACACTCAATGCTTTTGAATGAATCACTTCAGTAGCCCTAATAAGGATTAAAATATGTCTGCTTGAATGAAGGATGTTTTATGCAAGTTGATATAAAGAATGCATATTATATAAGATTGGTATTTCATTCAAAAAGGGACCATATTCTTGTTTCTTTATGAGAAGTATATTTATTTAATTTTAATATAAAGACATGTTATGTGTAGCAGCAGTTAACTCTGTGTCTGTTCAAACCTGTATATCATTCATATTACCACGTTAATAGATGTTTTCTCTGGGTACATATAATGAGTTTGGAAATTTTAGAGAAATGTTTAATAAATGCATTAAACTGTAACTAAACCCATTATATTTTAAAGACCTTTAGTCTAGTTTTAGTTTAGTTTCTTTACTAAAACTAAAGGTCTTTCTCATCTGAAATTTTCGCACGATAAAAATAAATACGACCTTGACTATTGTGTCAATCACGTTTACACACTGCCTCCGAAACTTTCGTCAGTCATAAAAAAATTCGGACCAGGTTCGATTTTCTGCGTTTTCGCATCTGTAGCAAGCATTTTGATAGGAAAGGATGACAAATATGACGCAACGATTTTTTTCCAGCTGATGAACGATACAAACATTGACAGCCAATCAGAATCCATCCTGCTGTAACGAGCTGGAGAATTTAAAGCGGCAGACGAGCATGCGCTTAGAATAAACAGACGATATCGTTCGCTGGTGTGGATTTTAATATAGTTATCGTTCTTGGTGTGAACAGGGCTTAAGACTAAAACTAAATCAATATTTGCTGTCAAAATGAACACTGTTTTTCGCAGGCCGTCCGATCAGGTGCTGTCCTTCAGGATTCTGCTGAACGAGGCGAGCGTGGCGCTCTGTGATGACATCACCAGCCCGTCCAGTTCTGTGGAGCTGCTGCGTCTCACCGTCTCCAAACTGCTGCTTCAGCTGCCGCTCGGCGAACCCTCGGCCGTCCACACCGTCCAGATCCACTGCGCCGGCCTACAGGTGGACAACCAGCTGTACGAGCGCGCCAGCTTCCACTTCCCCGTCATCCTGTGCCAGGAGTCCCTGAGCGTCACCGTCTCCACCGACGGACAGCTGGACCGCCTCGTCCTCCGCGTCAGACCGGCGCACGTCTATCTGGAGGACACCTTCATCTACTACATGAAGACGCTGGATTAAAATATGTCTGCTTGAATGAAGGATGTTTTATGCAAGTTGATATAAAGAATGCATATTATATAAGATTGGTATTTCATTCAAAAAGGGACCATATTCTTGTTTCTTTATGAGAAGTATATTTATTTAATTTTAATATAAAGACATGTTATGTGTAGCAGCAGTTAACTCTGTGTCTGTTCAAACCTGTATATCATTCATATTACCACGTTAATAGATGTTTTCTCTGGGTACATATAATGAGTTTGGAAATTTTAGAGAAATGTTTAATAAATGCATTAAACTGTAACTAAACCCATTATATTTTAAAGACCTTTAGTCTAGTTTTAGTTTAGTTTCTTTACTAAAACTAAAGGTCTTTCTCATCTGAAATTTTCGCACGATAAAAATAAATACGACCTTGACTATTGTGTCAATCACGTTTACACACTGCCTCCGAAACTTTCGTCAGTCATAAAAAAATTCGGACCAGGTTCGATTTTCTGCGTTTTCGCATCCGTAGCAAGCATGTTGATAGGAAAGGATGACAAATATGACGCAACGATTTTTTTCCAGCTGATGAACGATACAAACATTGACAGCCAATCAGAATCCATCCTGCTGTAACGAGCATTAATTCAGCGTCTGGGAGTAAGAGAAGAGCAGTCATATGGATACATTTGAAAAGCATGATAACGTGATAGAGTACTTAATTCGGTCCGGATTTCTGAGCCTTTACAGCCGAATCACGTACACAAAAAAGCACCTCTCAAACAACGCACGACTATTGAATTCAGTTCCCTTTTGCATCTCAACAGAGAAATACACACAAAATGATGTCATTCATTCATGTATTCACACCCGTTCTTCAGTGAATGTAAGCTTGGGAGAACATCACCATATTGAAACGGTTTTAAAGGGGAAGAAGCCTAATTTTGTTTTTGTAGTCTGTGTCCTTATTGTTAATGAATCAACAAAAGAAGGAGAGAAAAACACTCAATGCTTTTGAATGAATCACTTCAGTAGCCCTAATAAGGATTAAAATATGTCTGCTTGAATGAAGGATGTTTTATGCAAGTTGATATAAAGAATGCATATTATATAAGATTGGTATTTCATTCAAAAAGGGACCATATTCTTGTTTCTTTATGAGAAGTATATTTATTTAATTTTAATATAAAGACATGTTATGTGTAGCAGCAGTTAACTCTGTGTCTGTTCAAACCTGTATATCATTCATATTACCACGTTAATAGATGTTTTCTCTGGGTACATATAATGAGTTTGGAAATTTTAGAGAAATGTTTAATAAATGCATTAAACTGTAACTAAACCCATTATATTTTAAAGACCTTTAGTCTAGTTTTAGTTTAGTTTCTTTACTAAAACTAAAGGTCTTTCTCATCTGAAATTTTCGCACGATAAAAATAAATACGACCTTGACTATTGTGTCAATCACGTTTACACACTGCCTCCGAAACTTTCGTCAGTCATAAAAAAATTCGGACCAGGTTCGATTTTCTGCGTTTTCGCATCTGTAGCAAGCATTTTGATAGGAAAGGATGACAAATATGACGCAACGATTTTTTTCCAGCTGATGAACGATACAAACATTGACAGCCAATCAGAATCCATCCTGCTGTAACGAGCTGGAGAATTTAAAGCGGCAGACGAGCATGCGCTTAGAATAAACAGACGATATCGTTCGCTGGTGTGGATTTTAATATAGTTATCGTTCTTGGTGTGAACAGGGCTTAAGACTAAAACTAAATCAATATTTGCTGTCAAAATGAACACTGTTTTTCGCAGGCCGTCCGATCAGGTGCTGTCCTTCAGGATTCTGCTGAACGAGGCGAGCGTGGCGCTCTGTGATGACATCACCAGCCCGTCCAGTTCTGTGGAGCTGCTGCGTCTCACCGTCTCCAAACTGCTGCTTCAGCTGCCGCTCGGCGAACCCTCGGCCGTCCACACCGTCCAGATCCACTGCGCCGGCCTACAGGTGGACAACCAGCTGTACGAGCGCGCCAGCTTCCACTTCCCCGTCATCCTGTGCCAGGAGTCCCTGAGCGTCACCGTCTCCACCGACGGACAGCTGGACCGCCTCGTCCTCCGCGTCAGACCGGCGCACGTCTATCTGGAGGACACCTTCATCTACTACATGAAGACGCTCTTCCACACCTACATCCCAGAATGCACCCTGGGTGGGCGGGGCTGCGGTGGAGGGGCGGAGCCTGTGGCCCCGCGGGAGGTGCTGGAGTCCACACACGCTCTGGTGACGCCGGTGCTGCTGCAGAAGCTGTCCATCGAGCCGGTTCATCTGCTGGTGAGCATCCACGCCTCGCTCAAGCTCTACATCGCCTCCAACCACACGCCGCTGTCCTTCTCACTGTTCGAGCGCAGCCCCATCTGCACCACACCGAGACAACTGGTGCACACACTCGCCATGCACTACGCTGCAGGAGCGCTCTTCAGAGCAGGTGCATCTCACACACACACACACACACATACACACACACATACACACACAGGTTTGTTTTTGTGAAAAGTGGGGACATCCCAAAGGCGTAATGGTTTTTCTACTGTACAGACCGTATATTCTATTGCCCTACACCAACCCTACCCCTAA